AAGGCCTGCGCCGGCAATCAGGAGTGCATCTTCACCAAGGGCGGCGGCTTCTGCGTCTGTCCGCGTGGCTTCCGCCTTGCTCCGAATGGCCTGTGCGAGGACGTGGACGAGTGCGAGGAGGCACAGGTGGTCTCCTGCGCCGACAATGCCACCTGCCACAATCTGCTCGGCTCCTATGAGTGTCGGTGCTTTGAGAACTTTGAAGGTGACCCGTATCGAGAGGGCTGCAAACCGGAGCCGCCGCAGCTGAAGGGCTGCCTCCACGACACTGACTGTGCGCTCAACAAGCGATGCGACCTCAACTCGGGCGAGTGCTACGGTAAGGGCTTTCATGGTGACCACTGGACTTCTTACTAAACATGATGTTTCCTCTGTAGATCCGTGCGTCGCCACCGGCCCTCTGGAGCACCGCTGCGGCCAGGGCGCCATCTGTCTGACGGAGAACCACCGGTCGGAGTGCTACTGCCCGCCCGGTCACGAGGGCGACCCCTACAAGCTGTGCTTCAAGAAGATCGTCTGCGGCATCGACTACCACTGTCCGGGCAACCTCATCTGCCTGGATGGCAACACCTGTGGCTGTCCGCCGAACTTCTACCGCGAGAACGACTACTGCTTCATCATGTCGCTCAACTGTACGACGAGCAATCCCTGTCCGACCAATGAGGAGTGCGTCTACACTGGCTCACAGCGAGGCTTCTGCGTCTGTCCGCACGGCTACGAGCTGCACCCCAGCGGAGAGTGCATCGACCTGGACGAGTGCCTGCACATGCACTGCGGCTCAGGGGCGCTCTGCAACAACAAACCCGGTGGCTTCGACTGCAGCTGTCCGCCGGGCACCATCGGCGACGCCTATGTGAAGGGCTGCGTCACCATTGACGGCTGCATCTCCACCAGTGACTGTGCCGCCGATCGGGAGTGCGACATTGGCAGCAAGCAGTGCATCAGTAAGTGTTCTAGTTTGTGTGGGTTTGAATTTTTACTAATTACTCATTCCGTCTAGGCCCTTGCTACATCTGTGGACCGCACGCCGAGTGCACCTCTCGAGATCACATTGCCATCTGCACCTGTCCGCCGGGTCGCATTGGAAATCCACTGGACAAACAGGTGGGCTGCTACCTGGAGCCAGAGTTGCCGCAGATTGACGCTCGCACCATTCCACCGCCATCGGAGCTGTTAGGTTGGTCTTTTTACCTTACCAATTTTAATCAAACTGGTAATCTAACACCGTTTTCATGCAGTCAAATGTCTGGCCGATGGCGTGCAGGTGACCGTCCAGCTGGACCGTTTCGACGGTCTAATCTACGTGAAGGGGCACAGTCAAGATCCGCAGTGCCGTCGAATGGTGACCAGCGGAGAGGGCGACTACATTGACTTCAAGGTGCTCTTTGGCCACTGTGGCCTGCTGCACGTCGACGGCGAGGCCTCCTTTGTGCTAGTGATTCAGAAGCACCCCAAACTGATTACCTACCGTGCTCGTGCCTACCACATCAAGTGTGTCTACAACACCGGCGAGAAGACCATCACACTGGGCTTCAACGTCAGCATGATCACCACCTCGGGAACGATTGCCAACACCGGTCCTCCGCCGACCTGCATCATGTCCATCTGCACGCTGGATGGAAAGGAGATCAGCAGCGCCGAAATTGGCGACGACCTCATCCTCAAGGTGGACGTCCAGCCGGACTTTATCTACGGCGGCTTTGCTCGTAGCTGCATTGCCAAAACAATGGAAGAAGAGGGTGAGTTCAGCTACGAGGTGACAGACGAGAACGGCTGCTCCACTGACCCGAGCATCTTCGGCAACTGGGAGTACGACCCGCATAAGAAGTCGCTAATGGCGCGCTTCAACGCCTTCAAGTTCCCCTCGAGCAACAATCTGCGCTTCCAGTGCAACATTCGCGTCTGCTTTGGCTCCTGTCCGCCGGTCAACTGTGACGGCGTGGACGCCTACGGCCGCAGACGCCGCAGGAGGCGGCAGATTGACACCATCAACGAGGAGGACTTTGTGCTGACAGACTCCTTCAAAGAGGGAGCTCTGCGCGAGGAGATCATGGTGCAGTCGAACGCTATACTCACCTTTGAAAAGCGTGAGGCGCAACCGTCGCAGAATCTGCTCGACAACTCCGTCAAGATTGAGGACATTGAACACGTCTGCCTGCCCAAGCTGGGCCTCATCATCAGCATGATCCTCACGACGCTGCTCGCCCTGGTCGCCGTGGCCGTGGCCATCTCCTGTTGGCTGATGGCCTACCGGCGACGGCCAAAGGGCGTCGGCCCACTGCCCCACCCGCCTGACTTTCCCAATCCGCTGTACACGACGCCGGAGCCGATGGCGGAACCGCTGCCTGACTACTACAGTCCCTCGCAGCGGCACATGTAAAGCACACTCTCTTTTTTTCTTTCTTTAATTTTTGGTTCGGCCTTCTCTTTCTTTTAAACATTTTTCGTAACCCTTCATCACTGCAATATGGTAACCAAACAAGTGCCGGTGTGATAACGGCTCAAACTTGGCCAGGTTTCCGGGCGAATACTGCAAATACTGTGCTTTTCCTTCTTCTCTTCTCTCTATTTATCTCTTCTTTTTGCAAATGGCCCTGTGCCAAATGACCCACTCACTGACTCACTCACACACACACATTGTATGATACTGAATGCCATTTACCAACTTCAGCAGCACTAGTATTTGTTCGGCAACCTGGCTGACTTTGAACCACGGTAACCACTTTTTTAATTGTCCGCTTTTTCCCTTCATTTACTTCCTTCTCCTTCTCATTCTATAGTCTATTTTTGTTGCACACTTCACATAGATTTATAATTGACTGTGTGTTCGTTTCCTTCATCTATTTTTCTCTCTGGAATCCCCTTCACTTTTCTTTTTCCTTCTCTCATCTGAAGACAAGTGTGCAACCCAAGGAAGCAATATTCGATTGTCGTCACAAGGCAGCTATGTGTGATTTGTGATTGCTAATCGTCCTCCTTAACCGCCAACTTTTTCTCATTTCTCTCACCACTAAACCCAATTTTCTCATCAAATGGCTTCGATATATTTTTTGGCAGCTACTTCACTTTTAGTTTCATTCATTTTCTCTCTGATTTAAATGGCATTCACATAGTGTATCATTGATGTCTTAATGTAAAAAACAAACCTATTTATTGTAAACTTTTTTGTTAATAAAAATACCTAATCTTTGTAAATTTTTAGACGTTTCTGGTACTTTGAAAACATTGAATATCAATTTATTTTTAGAACTTTGTAATGAGTCAACTTGGAAAAAGCTCTAAAATGATTCACCACAAGAGAGGTTATTAGTTTCAATAAGAACTGAGAGGCAGCTCACTAGTCAATCTCAGTGTGATCTTGTAACCAGCTCTGCGCATTATCTTCTAGTTTTTTTGCAGCAACACAGCACCTGTTTATTACCTTCCATTGCCAATGGCCAAAGACTCAGCGGCGGAGAAAGACACTGCCGATGAGGGGAAGAAGTGCCCTCCCGGACCGAGCAAGTGCACCGTCACCAAAGATGTGCCAGCTAAAGTAGCCGGCGGTGAAAGCGGCAGCAAGACCAAAAATGGCTCAAAGACAAAGATGGTCTCGGGTGGAAAGTCCTCTTCAAAGAAGAAGAAGAAGAGCGTTTCGCCGGCTGATCACCAGCCCACACGAAAGGGCTCCAAGGAGAAGCCAGGAGGAGTGGTGCTAGATGCTCTTGTCGGCGGTGGGGAGAGTGGCCACAAGAAGAAGGACAAGAAGAGCTCTTCGCACAGCAAGAAAAAGAAACGTCATTCCTCTTCTGCTTCAGGTCGCCACCATGGCCACCACCGCTCAGGCAGTGGCTCCGCCCATCCACACCCTCGTGTTTTCATTAATGTGGAGCGAATGCAAATCATTCAGCCTGTAGTGGCCAAGGCCATTCCCGTTCCTGACAGTGCTGGTGGTGGTGGTGGTGGTGGTGGGGGAGGAGGGGGAGGCCAGCCACCTCCTGCTGCGCCTTCAGGAGCTCCTTCTTCGCCGCCTGTGCCGAGCACTGCTCCCAAGTCGCCTCCGCCACCGCCACCGGGGTCGAAGGCGCCGATGAAATCGGGGGATGATGTTCCGCCGCCCTCCAAGGCCCCTGGTTCGCCGCCACCAAAAACTACTCTTGACTGAAGCACTTCAGAGGGCTGCTATACTTGCAACAGCAAGAAAGCAACCTCTTTTTAAGAGCCTAGCCTTTGTCTTTGGCTCACTGCAAAAGATCACTGCACGGCCATTTTATTAATCTTATAACTTGTTTACCATTAGGCCGTTGCATTTAGCTCATTAAACAACAACAACTTTGATTTGTTTTACAATGAGCATTTTGTTTCTGATATCTGACTCATACTCTGATTCATACAGTGATTGCCCAAATGTACATTTTAGCTCAAAAATATAATTTGCTTTTATGAATGCAGTTAGTTAACAGTCATATAATGAAACTAAAATTTGTAGTGAAAATGTTTGTCTTCAGATGAGTTTTTGTTTTTCTCCTCTTTTCCTCTTTTTTAGTTTAAGATTTCAGAAAAAAAGTACAAAAGTTACAATGTTAAAGAGAAAGAATACACTTATTTTTTACAAAACATTTACTTAATGTGGTTTTTCTTAAAAGCACTTTAATAAAATGAAATGAATAATGTGTTATGTGGCACTGTTGTGTTTGCAAAAAAATGAAAAAATTGAGGTGTAATGGAAGTGTGCCTTCATCTGATGACACTGTGTGCCCTTTAGTGTGTTTTGCCCTTGTTGAGGATCCACTCGTGCTGCAGCACATCAGCCATGGTCGGACGGTCCTTCTCATTGGGGTTGAACATGAGCTCCATTAGGTTTCGAACTGACTCAGTGTTTGGACCAAGAAAACGAGAGCGAATAAAGGAGGGGTAATCCACCTGCTCCTTGTACAGCTTCTTTACGTCCTGAAAGTGAAACGGGAAGCGGTTGTTGAGCATCGCGTATACCACTACAGACATCGCCCACACATCCGCCTTCCGAAAGGAGTGAAAACAGAAAGAGTAGTTAATAAAAAACCAGTTAACAAGAAAAGCGAACCTTGAAAGGATTGTAGGGCTTCTTTGCCACCAGTTGAGGCTGAAGAGTGATTGCAAGTCATTAGCTGCCAAGATTATGAGTAATTATAAAGATTACCGAATAGTAGGGCACTGTGCCGCAGTAAGTTTCGGAGACGGCCTCGTACACGTCAGCATTCTCGTCGGTGATCAGGTTAGCAAAACTGTTTTGAATAAAATAATATTTAAAAAAAAGAAATTACGTGTCACCCGGTAGTTGACGTACCCGAAATCCGCCAGTTTGACTTGGTTCTCTTCATTCAGCAGAATGTTGTCCTAAGAAAAAAGGCTTTTCAATATTTGAAGACAATTTTTGGGCACTAACCAGTTTGATATCGCGGTGAGCCATGCGGGCCTAGGAAATGTTGTTAATGAAAATTGCTAAAAACAACTGTTTCCTTACCTCAGTGTGCAGATAGTGGACAGCCTCAGAGGTTTGGGTGAACCAGAGACAGGCAAGCTCCTCCTTGAGACACTTGTGCTTCTTTACGTAGCCAGAGAGATCACCATTGCCAGCTAGAAATTGTAAGAAATCAAAGCAAAATATGAAAAAAGTCAGTCAAAAGAGAAAAGATAAAAAGATAGAGGGAAGAGACCAAATTCCATGAAAATAAAAATTTTCTTGCTCATCTTGAAGATGTCATAGACGCGAACAGTGTGAGGGTGCTTCACCTCCATCATGGCTGCCAGCTCGCGGGGAAGAAACTTGTCGACGAGCTTCTTTGGCATCTTCGTCAGGTCCATCACCTTGACAGCGCACACCTGATTGTCACGCTTGAAGTTGACTGCCTTGTACACCTGTCCAAAAGCGCCCTGGCCCAGCTTGCTCTGAAGCTGGTAGCCCTTCTTCTTGAACACCGCCTTCGACTTGTCATCAATGTCGGCAAACTCATCCTTTTTTTGAGTTGACGACATGCTGGAAGGGTTTGGGATTTGTAAAGTTGCCGAGGAAGAATACTTTAAAGAGAAAGAGAGAGGGGGCAATGCAATGACGAGAGAGAAAAAAGTTGTAAAGCGCTTGGTGCACTGTGCATCGTCACTAAACAGGCAAAAAATCGAACTTTGTAAAAAATAACGATTTTGTCAACTCACAATAAAAACACTTCATCAAAAGTCTCACTTGGTCATCAATTTTCAACCCATTGCAGACTTTCTGATTGACCATGTCAGCTCCAACACCACCAGTCGATGGGTGGCCGTCAAAGAAGCAGCCAGAGAAAGATGAGAAGATAAAAGAGGGCAGTAATGCAAAAACCAGTGAGGTGGCGAGCACTTCCTCAAACGGTGCCGGAAAGATGATCAAGGCAACGGAAAGCGAGCCAAGCATTGGCGAGTGCGAGGACGAACTGTACGCAGAGGCGGTCCGCGAAGAGCAAGAGCTAGTCTTTCACAAGTTTTCAAAGACAAACACTCCGTCCAACTCGAACACTTCAACTGAGCCAAGCATCAAAAGCATCTCCAGTGACACTCAGTCGATTCGCATTGATCCGGTGGAGGGCAGCGGCCACGAAGGTCGTATTTTTGTCAATTTGTGCGATGACACTAGTCCGGTGCTGCCGGAAATGACGCGCCCCAAAAGCGTGATCCACATCACCGGCATTCCTGCTTCCAGTGCCATGTTTCAACCTGGTGAAAATCCCTCTTCAAGCAGCGTCCAAACACAGAACTCAGTCGAGGACATGCTGCAGCTGTACGTCGGTCTGGTGAACGAGGACGACCAGAGCAGCTACGCGAACGCCGTTCTCCAGCTTCTCTCCAGCTGGAAAACACTTCAGCTGTGCGTGAACTCGTGCAAGGAAGACGTTCCCTCGACAGTCAGTCCCTCGATGCACCGGTCTCTGGACGCCATCTTCAGGGAGATGGGCAGTGTCGGGGATAACTTTGCCAACGGCAAGGTTAAAGTCGTCCAGACGAAGAAGTTTCTCTCGGAGTTTCGCACCATTGCCGCTCGATCCGCTGGCCGAGCCGTGTTCACAGCAGGAAAGGAGCACTGTGCCATTGACTTTATTTGCACCGTTCTTCAGACGCTGCACAGTGAGGTGAACAAGGCGACCCGTTTGAAGAAGGAGAGTGCACAGCCAGCTCAGTTTCAGCCAGTGGAAAGCATCACCTCGGCCGATGAAGCCTGGCAACAGCAGGTGGACACTAAGGACAACAGCTACCTCTTTCTTCTGGTCAATTCGCAGCTTCAGTCCACTGTGAACTGTCTGACTTGTGGTGGTGTGAACAGCATCAGCTGGAGTACATCTTGGATTCTTAATGTTCCAATGCCGCCGCCAGAACTGGCTGAGAAGGAGGAGAAGAAGGTGTTGAAGCTAAAAGACTGCATTCAGCATTACTTTGCTGAAAAGGTGAGTTGTGCTCAATTTGCAGGTTTACAGTTCACTAATCAACATTTGGTGTTTGTTTACTATCTACTCAAAGCGACTAAGCCAGCAAGAGAACGCAGCTACTAAGTGCAAGAAGTGCTCACCGGCCAATCAGCCAGCTACCAAGAAGCTGACCGTCACTCGAGCTCCCGCTAATCTGCTCATTCATCTCGACCGTTCGGGCAAAGACGGCAATAAACAGGCCGACCGCCGTCCAGTTCTCATTGAGCCACAGATTAAGTTCGGTGGCGAAACGTACAATCTACTCAACGCCGTTGTGCTGCAAAAAGAGCGCGGTCACTACGTTGCACTGCATGCTCAGCACTACCTGAAGTGGGTCCTCTTCGATGACCACTCAGTGACGGTCATTCCCAGTGGCCTTAGTTCTCCTACTGCTGGCAGTGCTCAGGACATGATGAGCACCCAGGCTTATCTGATGCTGTACAAGGTTCAGCGCGGCAACTGTAAAGTGTTCTACGGCCCGTAAACCATCGAAGCCTTTCTGGCCACTGCTTTTGGCAATTGTAAGTTTTTAATTGATTACTAAAACGCATTTTTGAGAAACTTTGAGTTTAACAGTTTATTTTATTATGAAAATTAAAAGAGAACACAGGAACAGTTAAGTAATTATCATTATTACAAGATTAATCAAAGTTAATCATCTTATTTCTTGACGAACTCAATGGGAATGGTGCGCTCCTTGTTCTCCTCCACCTGGGGCACCTTCAGCGGGGCCTCCATCTTGAGGTAGCCCTGTTTGTCCAGCTGGCACTTGAGCTCCTCCGACTTGACGTTCTCCGGGACGGTGAAGTGCTGCACGTACTCGCGGTACACGTATCGGCCGTCCTCTTCCTTCTTCTCGCGCTTGCCGGTGATCTGCAGCGAGTCCTTGTCCATCTTCACCGAGATCTCCGACGGGTCAAAGTTGCGCATGTCCAGCGACAGCTGATACTTGTTGTCCTTGATGGTGGGCATCGCCAGCTGCTGACCGATGTTGCCAAAGGTGGACAGCGATCCGCCACGGGGCATCAGGTAGTCCAGCGGGTAGACGAGAAAGTCGTCGTTGTCCAGGGCGTCCATCAGCGAGCGAGTGAATCGAGGCAGAGAGAGCATTTTCGCGGTAGTTGAGAGAATTCGAAGTTGAGAGTAAGAGAGAGTTGAGAGTAGTTGAGAGTTGAGATCGTTTGATCGCTTTAGCGCTTTGAGTGCTTCAGTGCAATGCCGCCGTTGCAGTCGCGCCTCTCTTTTATACTGCATGCGGCTAATTGCAGGCACTGGCGAGACTGCTCGCTACTGTTCTCGTACTTTCCTGCACCATCTATCCTCCTCCTGCAACATCTCGCCAAGACAGGCCTTGCTGTACGGCAGAAAACCGAATCTAAACTCATCAGCACTGCACGGTGAACAGTTTAGAGAACGCTGCAGTGTTGAACAGTGTCCAATTCAGACCGAATTAGTGCACCAGTTCAGTGCGTTATTAGCGCTTCACCAGACTTTTCTCGTTCTTTCGCCCTGCATCTCGGTTGCAGTAGGCAGATCACGTAACAAACATTGTTTGCAACTGCGATATCTAAACATTTACATTGCAAACAAAAAATGCACCTACGAAACTTCTACACTTTTCTAGACTTTCTAAGGATTTACAAGAAACGCTTTTATCATGTTTTTGCACAACCAAAAGGAAATACATTATTTTGCGCAGAAAATAAATGAATTTGCGAAAAAACAAGATCTGAACAAGAAGGATACATCTATATTTTCTGAGCAAAAAGGATTAAAAGTGAATAAAACAGCAATTGTATGTGCTTGCGAGCTCCAGCTATCACTTTTCAGCTTTGACTGGAACCGCCCGACATTGAGCCACCACCTCCTCCTCCTCCTCCTCCTGACATTGAACCCCCGCTGCCAGACATTGATCCTCCTCCACTGCTGCTCGAGCCACCAGCAAGGCTGGAGCCACCTGAAACTGAGCCTCCCGCTTGAGACGATGCTCCATCGATTGACCCACCGCCACTGCCGGACATTGATGCTCCTCCTCCTCCGCTCATGGAGCCACCGCTCATTGATCCTGCTTTGGAGCCTCCAGCCAGAGACCCGCCGGTCATGGAACCACCAGAAGTAGATCCGCCAGCCATTGATCCTCCGCTCATAGAGCCGCCGGTTTTCGAGCCTCCGGCCATAGATCCACCGGACATAGAACCTCCAGCTTTGGAACCGCCAGACATTGATCCACCAGTCGAAGATCCGCCGGCCATTGATCCTCCACTCATAGAGCCACCGGTTTTAGATCCGCCTGCCATAGATCCACCGGTCACAGAACCTCCAGTTTTGGAGCCACCGGCCATTGATCCGCCGGACATCGATCCACCAGAAGTAGATCCACCGGTTTTAGAACCACCTGCCATGGAGCCACCGGCCATTGATCCGCCAGTCTTTGATCCCCCGGCCATTGAACCTCCAGCCATGGACCCACCGGACATCGATCTGCCAGTTTTGGATCCTCCGGCCATTGAGCCTCCAGTCATTGATCCGCCGGACATCGATCCGCCAGTCTTTGATCCTCCGGCCATTGAACCTCCAGCCATAGATCCGCCGGACATCGATCCACCAGAAGTAGATCCACCGGCTTTAGAACCACCAGCCATGGAGCCACCGGCCATTGAAGACTGATTGGTGGAAGCACCGCCTTGACCGCCTTCCTGGACTACCGTGAACCCTGGAGTGCTCGGCTCTGCTGTCAAATTCTCCGGAGGTGCTGCAGAGTTGCTGCTGGCACCGGCGGCGGGGGAGGAGGTCGAAGTGGGCGAAGTCGAGTCTGCGTTCACAGCGATCATAACGTGGGCCGTTGAGATGATGACCATCGTGTCGAGTTCATCATTGGCGTGTGAGATGACGATCGTCTCGGCGATGAAGGGACTGAAAGCTGACGCATTGAAGCCGGCCAACTTCTCCGGGTTTGTGTATAGACGCGAGTCACGGTTCTTCGACTTGTACTTGATGTTGGCCCTGCTTGGAGTGGCCGCTGACATGGCAATTTAGAAGGCGAAAACAATGGTTAAACATGCTGTGTTGAGTAAGTGAGAGTAGGAAGTGAGGAGTACTTACGCACTTTCGAGTCGGATCGAGGGTTGCCTCGAAGGCTGCTGCCAGTGGAGGCCGCCGAAGTGGGTCTCTTGACCTTGGCCAGCACCATATTGCCGGTTTTACTGCCGCCTGACTTGATCTTTACCTTTTCCAGCGTCTTCACCATGGGACTTGAGGAGGTGGAGGAAGCACTGGCACTNGAGAGTAGGAAGTGAGGAGTACTTACGCACTTTCGAGTCGGATCGAGGGTTGCCTCGAAGGCTGCTGCCAGTGGAGGCCGCCGAAGTGGGTCTCTTGACCTTGGCCAGCGCCAGATTGCCGGTTTTACTGCCTCCTGACTTGATCTTTACCTTCTCCAGCGTCTTCACCATGGGACTTGAGGAGGTGGAGGAAGCACTGGCACTGGCGCCGCCGGCCGACATGCTGCCACCAGCTCCAGACATTGAGCTGCCTCCGGCTGAGCTGCCACTGCTACCACCGCCCACTGAAGCGCCGCCCGCAGAGGCTCCACTCATCGACCCGCCTCCGCCCACCTTGGAGCCGCCGNGCCAGATTGCCGGTTTTACTGCCTCCTGACTTGATCTTTACCTTCTCCAGCGTCTTCACCATGGGACTTGAGGAGGTGGAGGAAGCACTGGCACTGGCGCCGCCGGCCGACATGCTGCCACCAGCTCCAGACATTGAGCTGCCTCCGGCTGAGCTGCCACTGCTACCACCGCCCACTGAAGCGCCGCCCGCAGAGGCTCCACTCATCGACCCGCCTCCGCCCACCTTGGAGCCGCCGGACTTTGAGCCGCCGCCAAAGGAGTGCCCACTAGCACCACCACCACCACTCGTNCCTTCAGCGACTTGGACGACTTTAGATGCGACATTTTCGACTTGCTCTTCATCTTTAGTTTGCTCGACTTTCCCGATTTGTTGCTGCTCGACTTCTGACTTCTGCCACCGAGAGACTTGCCTGTCTTCGACATTGAGCCACCACTGCTGCTGCTGCTGCTGCTGCTACCACCACCACCGATGCTTTTTCCGCCCTTGGAAAGTGACTTGCCAGCCTTGGAACTGGAGGATTTGCCGCCACTGCTGCCTCCACCGATGCTCTTTCCGGCACTCTTCATCATAGAGGACTTGCCAGACTTGGAGCTGGATGACTTGCCCCCGGACGAGCCACCAGACATTGAAGAGCCTGGAGACCCGGTAGAGCAATTCTTCAGTAAAAGTGTAACCTAAATTGAGGTTACTCACCTTTTGACTGGCTACCTCCACTTTGCCCGTCCATTGGAAGCAAGTTTTTGTTAACGAAACTCTGCCGAATGTAGATCAAATCAATTGGCAGACAAGACAGATTGGATTTTGTGAAGTTTCTGAAGATGCGTGTAAGATGCAAAAACAATGAGGAATGTAGTGAGTAATCTATCATTGATAAGGACAAATGTAAGCGTTTTCTTACTACATTTCGAATATCAAACAATGTTGACGATTCATTAAGCACATTTTCTAGTTCCATGACGTGTTTTAGAACATATCAAACCCATTATTTAAACAGTGGCTCGACGTGGCTTTATGTTACTCTTTGTTAGCTTGCTGTCGGGTCCTTATCTCACTCTCCCCTTTAAACCTTATGGATTCAGGTTAGTCATCATCACTCTAACTGATTACTCATTTATCCTTTTTCAATTCTAGCTCCCTATCTAGAAGACTTTGAGTCCCTCAAACTGCTACTGAAATACGAGCAGCAAAACTTTTACGAACTGAAGGACGAGTGTCTGCGAAAGGGCGTCCTCTTCGAGGATGACCTCTTTGAGCCCAATCTGGCGGCCTTCTACTTGCCTAGAGAGCTGCCACGTCAGCAGAACTCAGTTGATTCACGAAGTCCCTCACGAACCATCGAGTGGCTCCGACCGGGACAGATAGTGGCAGAGCCGAATGAGCCGCACTTTTTGCACGTCAGCAAGTCCTACCCAGTGGTAAAAGGCCATCATCGCCACAGTGAGGGCAGCTCCAAGTCTCCAAGAGCTGGCGCCTCTGGAGCAGCCTTCACCTCCTCTGCAAGTGGTGGCGGCTGTTCAGCCACCGTGGACTTCAGAGCGCAGATCAACGTAGTGCACGGTCGCTGTGGCTGCTCCAACTTCACCTCTGCCTTGAGCAGCCTGTACTGGAAGGGCGGGGACAGCTTCCGCCGGGTGGTGCCCGACGAGCAGACCTTCGAGGCGGGCGACTACGCGGGCATCTTCCACTTTCGCCTGTGGCAGTACGGCAAGTGGTACGACATTGTCGTCGACGACCGCCTGCCGACGCTCAACGGAAAGCTCTTCTGCGTGCACGGCAAGGACGGCGAGTTCTGGCCAAGTCTGCTGGAGAAGGCCTTCGCCAAGCTGAACGGCTGCTACCAGTCGCTGCACGGCGGCACCGTCAGCGAGTACCTGGAGGACCTGACCGGCCACCTCTGCGAAAGCATCAGCGCCGACATGCCCGCGACGCAGCTCACCGAGGGCCTCTTTCCGCTGCTGCAGCACTCGCTGAACACTGACGCCCACGTGGTGGTGCGCATCGCCGAGGAGAGGAGCGGAGGACTGGGGCGAGGAGGGGGCAACTCCGCCAAGGAGGAGGGGGCCACTCCGGGCGCGGGAAAGCGAGGCAGAAAGGGCGCCCGAAGTCGCTC